ATATATCCATTTAAACCATCAAACATACATACATTAATAATGGCAGAGCCAGATTGTCCACTTGATTTGTGCGTGCTTCGATCAACGATATTGATACAGCCGACAAAATACTTCTCAGTAGTAATCGATAATTATCCATTAATCCTGGCAAAACATAATTAAAAATAAATAAAACAGTTTTATGAAAGAAGCTGTTAGGAAGATATAAGAACCGAAATCTACCACAACAAGTTAGCGTGAATATTATGCAAATTTGGCAAAATATGCACGCGATGGTGCCTTCGATAGTTTTTTCCGTGTTGGGCCATTTATGTGCACCCCATCTGTTACCGACGAAGCTTGCAGCAGTATCACCGATCCCTACTGTCAATACACCGCTGAGTAATACCATTAGTGTCAAATTATTAGTTGGCATCCAAAGGGGTAATGATAAACCACATAATAGATATATAGGTGTTAATGAAAGCAAAGGATCCTTTTCGTCAACAAATGCAATAAATCCTTGCTGCAAAATTTCTCCTAAAGGCGGGATTTTCAAAAATCTGATTACCTAAAAATTAATTAATGTAATTATCGCATCAAATATATAAAAAATAAGTGAGAATTATACTACTGAAACCTAATAATTATAATATACATATATAGCAATAATTGTATAACTGTATACCTCAAGAGCAATAAGTAGTACAAACATCACACCACTAGCAAGATATAATAGTGGAAGATTGTATATCATGCCAGGAATATATACAAATGTGGCTAATACATGAAAATGCTTTCTAGTAGAACTTGTAGCTTGGGATTTCAATGATATCTGACGGCTTATAATAAAGATACTTAACAGAAAACACACTGCCCAATATATAAATATTGCAATCTAAAACATATAAGAATAAAATAAGATCAATTAAAAAAAATATATTATTATTTGTAATGTCTTATCTCTATGTCTTATCTCATCATTCATCCATTTTAAAAAAATCATAATAATAAAATATTATATAATTATTTACCCTTTCATAACTACTAAAAGAAAAAGAAATTATCCATTCTATTGGATTTTGATCAAGAATAATGTAAAGTATTGGAAGAATTACGAAACATAAGAGACTGAATATCATCAAGTAAAAATATGTTGTATTGCGCAGAACGGGAAAATATCCACACAGGAAACATATCGACATTACATATGATATCACAACCTGTAACATATAATATATTATATGAAAAAAAGATTACAACAATTAATTTTTGCATTTCATTACCTGTAATAAGACTGTACTGATGTCATTATCGTGAATGGGAGGTAAATGATATCGTAAGGGTAAATTAGTAACGACCGACATCAAGAACAAAATAAAACCATGCGTAACCGCTGTTGCTTCTCCCATTGTAAAACAGTATGGAAAAGCTGACATTAATTGTAAAACACCCCATGTGCCCAAACTTCCAACAGTTAGGCCCCATGTGACACTAGTCAATAGTCCTGTTCTTATTTAATTAATATAAAACTATAATAAGAACTAGAATTGCACATATAATTATTCCAATAAATATCAACATGTTACTTATATTCATGTCAACAAGTCTTCTTAATTCAATAAAGAAATAATTTGCAGATTGATATACCTTTGTTAGCAGCAAGTAAAAACAGTATAGATGTTATAATTGCAGGTACAAAGTATACAGCATGAAAGTCTTTCGCTATAATTTGTTTCATTGAAAGTCGTGCATAAAGACATAGACAACAGAGAACAAGACCGAAGCCAGTAGTTCCTACAGAGAGACATATTTCAGAATAACTGCTTTCTTCTCTCAATATCGTAATCACAGCACTCAGGCCAACTAAAGCACCTAGCCATAATCCACTGTTTGTATTTGGCCTACAAGATAAATCCATAATATATAAAGTTACATGGCAACTCTGACCAAGCAACTCTTAATTAACTCATTGGGCAATCTATCTTATAAATATCAATAAAGTTACAAATTTTTTGATTATTTAATGTATTATATATGAAAGATTAAGATTTTGGTAAAAATAATTTTGTTTACAGCAGAATATAATCATATAATAGCAAAAGTTTGCCTCAAATCTAATTTCTCTTTCTACATTTTATATATTTGATATAATCTGATGAAATTAATCAAATTTTATCCAAGTTATATCATTTTCTATCGTTACTGATTTAAAAAAAATTAATTAGCATTGTCAAATTATGAGCATGTAATTCATTTGAAATTACACTGGATAAATATATCTTTTTCTGTAATTTCATAACAAAACAGTTATAACATAATAGTATAAATGTTAAAACCTTGCAAGGTTAACTCGTTCTAGGAAAGAATGATACAGTCAATGACGTACCGGTGTTGAATGCCATTGCGTTTAATAGTTTGCAATATATTTTTCTCGAGCAGAGCATACTGCGCGACTAACAACTCCATTCTTTCTTTTGGCTAGAAGAGACTGCTTCTCATAGCATTAGCGTGACACTGCTCACCATTGATACCATTGAGTGCTAAACGGTTAAAACGGCTAAACGTGCTTTTATGGAGGGCGTTCTGAGTTACGCGTGAAGCATATGATGCATCATTTGTCCTTGTTGTTTATCAATTAATAAAGAAGGATAAAACGATACATCGTGCATGTAACTCGGAACGCACCCATGCACAGTTGGACTTAAGTAGAAAGGTCGTGAAAGATCGCTATCGGAAAAATCAGGAGAAACTAATCAAGACACTGTATTACACTGTATATGTTTTGTTCATCGTATCTTCAACAGTGCTTGACATTTGATAATCCCATTTGATAGGTCTGTTCTTTTTAGCTCCACTTCTTGCATAATTCATCTTTTCCTCCTTTTCTCTCTACATTGATGATTGGAGAAAAAAAAGATGAACAGTGCGAAAAGTTGAGCTACAAAGAACAGGCCTTTTAATTATTATATATTATATATATTTAATTTATTACATATTATAACCTACATACTTTTAAAAAATTGAAAAAGCTATAATTCGTCGAAGAGGAAAACTATGGTAACTTTGGTGGCATAGTATAAGAATGAGAGAAAGAAACAAGATTTTTGTCTATAGTAATAATGTATTATAATTGACTCTCTTAAATTCAACAACAAAATTCCAAAAAAAACCAGGGCGAATGAGAGTCAGCATAGTAGTCAGTAATTTTAAATCTTTATTCCAAAAAATAGTACGTTTCAGTTCACTTTGGAATCTCAGCAATACAATACATTTCAAAATATCAATCCCTTCATGTCCAAGAAAAAAAGCATCATTAGATTAACAGATTTGATGTTGTAATCCCAAGGCATAGAAGGAATTCGTCTCAACATTGGATCAAAAACAATTAAAATTTATTATCGAGTATCAGTATATTAAAGAATATCAAAAATACATGTTGATCGCAGTTCAAACAAAGCATAATTATGATTCTGCTTAGAATTTAGGCATAAAATGAAAATGTTACCATAACATGTTATCATAAAACTAAAAATGTAAAAGATAAAAGGTAAGATGGAAATGTATGCATATAAAATAAAAACATTTTTATTAAATACATAGATTAGAAAATATTAAAAAATCTAAAATAGATCAAGAAAACTACTATTAAATGTTCTGTTGAAGATAATATTATATTGCAATACTCTTACAACACTGTTCATTTAATTTTTATATTTTGTTAATTACAACTAACACTTATACTTTTTTATTCAATATTTAAAATCTCTCAGATCATAACAAATATGATTTAGTAAATACATTAAATATATAATCAAACCATTTTTATTATAATTCTAGCTTCTCTGATTCCATTGTAATAATATTGTAATATTGATTACATAATCTTTTTCTTTATATATCAAAATAAATTAATTCTATAATCATAATTCTATAATCATAATTTAAAAGCGCATTTTGTAATATATTAATAGTACCGAAAATCTGTAATCTGAAATTATAAGGACATTAATCCAATTTGATATTATGATAAGAAGAATTAAGAATCTTAAAGATAAGACTCTTAAGAGTTATATGTTTGTGAGTTTTATAATTTTTTTTATCAACTATATATATATACATACATATATCTCAAATATATACATAAATTCTGATAACACAACTTGGAATATAATTATTCACGTTCGATTATCTCTATTTTATAACAAAGAATATAGCTATATTTAAATATACTTATTAAACTCTGTGACGTTTAGCAAATGCTATCAAACCATTAGTCGATGGATCATGTGTTGTAACATTTTCTGCACTAATCAGTTCTGGTTCAATGGCTTTAGCTAGCTGTTTCCCCAACTCCACGCTGTATGTAGAAATATTAATTTTTTTAAGAATTCCACTAAAGAATTTGTATATATTGATTTGTATATATTGATAAAGAATTTTCATGCAAAAATATATTTTTTTTCTTACCCCCATTGATCATATGAATTGATGTCCCAAATAATACCTTGCACAAAGATTTTATGTTCATACATTGCTGAAAAAAACAGAAGTAAAATATTATGATTGTCTAACTGTATGATATATATGTATTTCAATATACAAATTATACTTCAATATCCAATAAATCATGATAGAAAAATCAGCAAAGAAAAAAAATGATTGCGCATGAAAATATAAGTAAAATTTATAACCAATGCTTTTGATTCATTCCATGATTTTTGAAAAAAGTATTCGAGAAAATATAAAGAATATTTATTTCGCCAATTACGTCACGATTTGTCAAACACACACACACACACACACACACACACACGCGCGCGCGCGCGCGCGCGCGCGCATACACACGTATGTGTATATCATTATTGTGTATATTTACCGATCAAAGCACCAAGAATAAAAGGTGTCAGTTTTTTTACTACAATGCTGTTTGTTGGTCTGTTTCCTTCAAACAATTTGTGTGGTAATAATGAATCTATTTGTTCAGCATTCAATCCTGATTTTTGTAATTCAGCTCGAGCTTCATTTTCATTCTTGCCTTTCATTAAAGCTTCAGTTTGCGCAAAGAAGTTGGCAAGTAAAATCGTGTGATGTGGAGCAATCTGCACAAAGTATACAAATAAAAATATATAATAACAAATAAATAAAATATTATTAAAAGGCTCTAAAGAAATAAATCCTATAATAAAAGAAGCCAACAACGGATAGATATAAGAGCTAACAATGGATATGCACAATAAGTTAATAATAAATGTTTTGATCATCCTCAGCATAAGTGCAAAACTAATATATTACATGTATTATAACAGATAAATCTAATAAATATAGCAATATAAAAAATTATTTACCTGATTTTGAGATTGAACAGGAATTAAAAAATCTGCTGGTACAAGTCTTGTACCTTGGTGCAATAACTGATAGAATGCATGTTGTCCATTAGTGCCAGGTTCTCCCCATACAATTGGTCCTTAAGAAAAAAAACAACAAATGTTAACTGTGTTTAATATATTTAAAAATGTATACTGGATAATATAGAATATATACCAGTGGAATAATTTACGGTTTTTCCAGAACGAGTAATATATTTTCCGTTACTTTCCATATCGCCTTGCTGAAAGTAAGCTGCAAATCTATGTAGATATTGGTCATATGGTAATAATGCATGTGTTTCAGCCTTATAAAAGTTATGATACCATATGCCAAGTAAAGCTAATATAACAGGAGCCTACAAAGAATAAGTTAAATCATGAAACATGTAATGAAATCATTTTCCAATTTTTTCACTTCCAGCTAAATTGCGAATAACTTTATCCAGGAGACATCTCCATTGTAGTCTAAAGGTATCTAAAGGTGAAGAAATTGGGCATAATTCATTATAATATACAGTTTATATCATAATATATATGTAATAAATTTAAAAAATTAAAAGCTCTCGTTTGTGTGTGTGTGTGTGTGTGCACGCATGTGTGTGTGTGTGTGTGTATTTTTGACTTGAGTTTAGTCGATTTATTTATTTTTTAATTTTCGAGATTATTTTTGAATAATCAATAATTTAATAGAATATAATTTCTTTTCAATGTACTTACATTTTCCTCTAATGGCGCTGTGCGAAAATGTTGATCCATAAAGTGAGCACCACATAAAAGCTTTTCAAAATTATCAAAACCAATTGACAAACAGATTGATAAGCCAATAGCTGACCACAATGAGTAACGTCCACCAACCCAATCCCAGAAACCAAACATATTTTTCACATTAATGCCAAATTCTTTAACCTTTTGTTCATTAGTAGATAATGCTACAAAATGGCAAGCTACTGCAGCTTCCTAAATAATATTGTAATATCATATTAGATAAGATATAATATATATTAAGCAAAAATGATACTTAATGTATAAATCCTAACTCATTCACTTACATCTTTTAATGTTTTTAAAAGCCACAGTTTGGCAGTAGTTGCATTCGTTATTGTTTCTTGTGTAGTAAATGTCTTGGAAGCTATTATGAATAAAGTTGTTTCTGGATTTAATTTTTTAAGAGTTTCAGCTATATGAGTACCATCTATATTGCTAACAAAGTGAACTTTAGGTCCAATGCTATATGCTTTTAAAGCTTCAGTCACCATAAGTGGACCCTATTAAAATAAGTATTAAATTTTAAATGAATATTTAATTATTATGGTAAGAAAAAAAACTTTTATGAATTACAAGATCAGAGCCACCAATTCCGATATTGACAACATCTTCAATAGGTTTACCAGTGAATCCTTTCCATTGTTTCGATAATACCTATAAATAAACATATTTTATATATGAGGATATGTAAGAAAGATCCCTATTATAAGATACAAAGTTCATTTTAGGTAAATCTAGAAATCTATGGATAGAATTTAAAAAAATAATAGGTCATTTTGAAGGGAATTTAATAAGCTTTAAGATAATGTTCTGTAAAATTTAATTCAAATTCTATCTTTTTTTTTAAATTATGTTTAGAAATGTAAAAAGTAAGCAAATCGCAAAGTCAAACAATTGTGCTCCTAATACGAAATATCCCGAAAAATCGATAATAAAACGCAAAGTACATCAGTATTGCAATTAAAAAATTTTATTTAATGTTTCTAAGATATGAACAAACATAGCCAGCGTGGGCGTGCAATGCATTATACCAACGATTCATCTTCACGTAATTAGAGCCAAGACCCATCGTAGAAATAGGCACTCAATGTTTATTCAGATTATCCTTTTTATTATTGTACAATAACATTTATATTTTAACAACAATTTTCACTATAATATAGGAGCATAAGTTATTTCAAAACTCTAGATATTAAAAACACTCTAGATATCTCATATTACGATTTTTGCACCTTACGGTTTTACGATCATCAAATCTAACTTCTGTAATTAAACAATTCAACATATTTTGTACTTTTCTATTAGTATGATCTTACTCTATCATTATATGAAGAATTTATTGCCAAATATTTACTTATTAAATAATAAACAATATTTAAGGCTTATCTCAATGAAATTTAAAGACATCCAAATTTTTAAATCTTTTTTACAATGACTACAAATAATGAATTTTCTAATAATGAATTTTCTACTAAATAATTTTCAATCCAAGAGCAATAAATTCATGATGGAACCAATAGATAGTGTTTTTATTAATTTAGCAGAAACACGGCTACTTCATATTAGGCATCTATCTCATAATAGGGGGCTTTCCTCTATATAAAAAAATGAATGATAAACTTACCTCATTTGTAAAGTTTTTCATATGATCTAATACTGCGTTAACATCAGGCATTATATTTTTTCCATCTACTAATATGGATGTATTACTTCTATTACGCAAAGCAATATGCAAAACTGCTCTATTCTCTGTGAAATTGATCTTTTCACCATTAAACATAGCACTTCTTGCAGCTTCTATTTCCCGTGCACGAGCCTATAGAATTACATAATAACATAATTCAAATGTTAAGAATTTAACCAATTTTATAACCAAATTAATTCTAACATACCAAATTAAATAATAATCCAAGTACTTCTTCATTAATTTTATTCTTGGAATAATCCAATAAAATTGGCCCATCTTGTGAAGTAGAGATTTCCAGGCTGTTTTTACATAATTATTTAAATATAATTTTTGTACATATCTTATGTTTATTTAGTTTTCGTACAATTCGAAATTTTTTGTAATTTTTAAAAATTTAGAACCATTTACAGTTCTAATGATGCAAATTAATTACCTAAGAGCATGCATTATTTTTTATTATATTTAATAAAAAATATTTAGAGATTTATTAAAAAATTCTGTGTTTAATAGAAAACAAAATATTTAATAGTTTTTTCGATCATATGATAAATAACTTTTAAAAGGTCATTTCAAGGACATGAAAAGCAGACTAGGAAATACCTAAATTTTTCGAAACGTTTAGGATCCTGCTGGAACATATCGTATATATTAATTTTCGAACCATTATTATCGAAGTACTGCTGCAGCTGTTTCCACGCAGATTCAGCCAACAAATCCGTCTTGGGCTTCATTTTCTTTAAGAAAGCCGCGCGTAACTTCCAATCTGGTTCCGAATGATAGGCTGTTACTGCTGCTATTGGACTTGATACAAGAGACCTCTTTAAAAAAATGAAGAATCTGTAATTTGCAATTATTCCGGCAGAGAACTCTCTTTATCAATGGTGCATTGAGGCTGTGGTCAAAGTCTCAGTAGAGACATAGAAGAATAAAAAATTATGAATAAGATAGAAGGAATAAAAAATTATGAATAAAAAATAAATGATTTTAGGCTACGTTCCAAAACTCGAGAAATCTTTGAAGAAAATTTTACTCTATATGCTACGTTATACGTATACTATATATTTTGAGTAAAATTTTCCTTGGAAAGGAAGTTTTGGAATATAGCCCTAATCTATCAGAAATCGGAATACACGATAGATTGAAATCGTTTATTCTTTATTCTTAATTTCTTATTCCTTCTATTGTGCGTAGGGCCTAACTCATGAAAATATTTCATAATTTACAATTAAGGGACAGCCACAATAAAAAGATTAAAGATGCCTTTTCATGCTGACGCTCATTTTCGACGTCAAAATAAGTCACGTAGAAATTGACAAATATCAAGCCTCAATTTTGATCATATAACCTATTTTTGATGCTGAAAATAAGCATTGAGCGTCAACATGAAAAGGTATCTTTAGGAATAAAGATTTCAATCTATCAGATATTAGATACATAGTTTCTAATAGATTGAATTATAAGTTATTATAAGGGTCACTTTAACACAGTATGATTATACTGTACTTTAACAAATTTAATCGATCGATTACTCTATTGGAATTGGCCAATTGCATCTGGGGATCGATTCTGTATCTTTAAACAAAGTGAAAATTGCAATATAAAAGCGAGCAAATTTACTAGGTGTGGGCCAATGAAATAATCAATATTCTAGTAAATTTGCTCACTTTTATAATTTTCTGATAATGAAGAATTTTCACCTCATTTCGAGATACAGAATCGATCTCCATTAAACAAAATGACAATTGCGATTCCATGAACTAATATCCATTACTCGGCTGATTACATTTAACGTGATCCTAAGGGAACGTTTATATTAGTCATAACCGTATATCGTAATCTGTAAAAATTGATCAATCACTTTCGAGTATTCCCTTCTTACCTTCGAATGAAAGGGGAATACTTGATTGTGATTAATCAATTCTTACAAATAATGACATACAGTTACAGTCAATAAATGGTCCCTAATTCTTTATTCCTTCTATTATGACCGTACCATTATAAAAAGGAGAATAATAATAATTAGAAGACATAAATAATAAAAAAAAGAAAAATCAAATTAGGAGAAATGTAAAAAAATTGCTCCTACATAATTATGTATAATTTTACATATAATTATAAATCAGCAATTCTTACATTTCTCCTAATTTGATTTTTTTTTAAAACAATGCGAAAATTATTGTAATTATTTTTTATTTTTTCATTTTTTCATTTTTTTAATATTAAAGAGAATTTTACAAAAGAAAAGAGGTATGAACATGTGTGGATACATATTTCGTACATAATTGTATATGTTTATACATGTATATATTTATATATATTCGTAAATGAAAAATTTTTTACCGGAATATAAATAATACAGCTATAAAATAATGAATTGTTTATCACTTGGTAGCAAAATACAGTGCAACAACTCTGTGGCATGTTTTTTCTAAAAAGTTGTAGTCAATTTTTTTTAATTTTTCAAAATTGCAATTCATTTAAAGAATAAAATATTTATAAATATATCAACACTATTACTATATAAAAGTACAAAAAAATACAATATACATGCTTGCAGTCTATTTATAATTGTTGCTTAACTGGACTGGAAGTGATTTTTTTCATTTTTATCCCTTTTTTCTTTGTATTATCGTTTATCGCGTACGATCGTCTATTTATTTCTCGAACTCTTATATATGTGCGAATTTTTACTAAATAATGCAGCACTTCATGAGGTATTTCATTAGCATAATGTCCACTATTCTTCACGAGTGCCACAACCTTTTTTATCACAAAGCTCTCTTTTGAAAAATAGTTACCGTGGAAGTGTACAAAATATCTTTCAACGACTTTGGTCGCGTTTAAAAGTTCTGCTGAAGGATTGGTAAAATAATCTTTGGAAACAGTTTCAATCCATTTTGATGTTCCACTTGCATCTTCAGTAGTTCCTAAAGATGGGTATTTCGTTTTGAATTTATAAGCGACAAATCCTGCGATATATTCTAATCCCACTTCTTGTACAAGATTTAAGTAGTCAAATGTGCCTTTAAAGCCATCCTTTATTATGTCAAATAGCTCATCATCATAAATATCATCGAAGCAAGTATCAATCGTTGATTCATTATTGTCATAATTATTGGCTTCTATTAATTCGTCCGGAGAAATATTAATAATATTGGAGAATAATTCTTTGGTTAAAATTATTTCGTCAGCGCATTCTTCTGTACGTTCGAACGTTTCTTCCTCTTGCAAAAAGGAAGAATCATTTGATTTCGAAGAGTACAGTGTCATTGGCATAGACGAGAGCTTCTGAGACGTATTTGCTTCTGCCGTCCAAATCACTGGAGTTGTCATCGATTTTTTAGCAGTTGGATTTGTCACATCGCTAATGGAAGAAGACATACAAGTAGGATCCATGTCTCCTTTGGTGTTTCTGTTTAAAGTAAATACAGCTTGCGAATGATTACCCAGAATGTACCAACGAAGTCTATATTTAAAGTCAAATGCTGAGAGATGATCCTTGAACGTATCTATTGATCTTAAATAAGTGAAGAAATTTTCCAGAACATCCAGCTGAAGTCTTCTCGTAATGATATACTGGCAGTCCACTGGATATTTTATTTGTAGATACTGGAACAATGCTCGTAAAGATCGATTGCTTACAAGAATACCTTTTTGAAAAGGCATTAATGCCTTTCTGGAACCAACTCGAATGTTCTCAGTATATAAAGTCATCAACAGTAAAATTGACTCTTGTGTTTCTAAGTTTTGTCCATAACCATTGACTCCTGGATGCGATCCGTATCTTAATTTTGAATTGTGCACATCGAACCACTTGTTGACTGTCGATACGAATTCTGAAAACCTCTCGTATTCCGAAGTTTTCAAAAGCCCTTGTTCGCCAGCCCACTGAATCGCTTTAGCAGTTGTATGCGACCAAATTCTTGCTGCTGATTTAATTGATTCACGTTGCGAACCATGAACATCTAGCAATTGTTGAGTAATACGATGAGCGACATGTAGACCGTCAACATTGCTCATATCGACAAGTGTCTGAAAGATTTCACGAGTAAATAATTCTTTGCTATTTCCTAATAACAGTCCGTCGTCAAATAACCAATTTCTCAAGAGTTTCAGCAGATGTGGAACATCTGCAAAAACAAATATTTTTTCCTCTTCGTTCACAGGGTGGTGGAAAAAGTATTTATTATATTTATAAGGACTGATGTCCAATTCTGTCCAAACTCCTCGGTTATCCATGTCTGAAACTATGGCGATTACTTGATAACCAGCACTGTACAAGCGTGTTATGGACTCTAGTAGAATGCATTTGTTCATTGGTTGGTCAAATTTGTAATAAATCGGTTGTTTCCAATTGCTGAATAAACCGCGAACCATCATGACTTGCACTTTTCCATATGGGCCAACCAATTTTTCGAGTTTAGCATCAAAATTTATTTCAGAAGAGACGGTCATTTCGTCGAAACTGAGAACAGCAAGTTTTTCTAGCGATGACAGTTCCTTGCCTTTCTCTCGCATTACAGTTAGAACGTCAGTTAAAAATCCTTCTTCAATACGGAACTTTTTTAATGCCCATTCTCTTAATGATGCTAACGATGGCAAAGGGTAATGCAATTTCGTTCGAAGATAGCAGTAACCTTTAGGACTTACACTCTGTAACGAAATGGCTGCAGCATAGTCATCAATAGACCATTGAATCCATTTTTTTTTCTCCAAAATACACCGAATTTGCCCTTCTGTAAAGTAGGGTTTTAATAGCCCTATGACATATTCTTCTCTTTCGTCTTCGAAAGTCTTCTTGACCGCAGTAGTGATCGCCAATTGTGTTTGATCGTTAATCAACTGCAATATTTGTTCCTTTTCGGCAAATATCTTTTTCAATTGTTCGTCTTTCTCTTGCAATTGTTGCTTCAATGTATCTAGTTCCAATGGAATTTGCATTGCAAAATCTGTACATTCTGATTTAATATCAAGTTCAGGTGATGAACAATGTTCTGTTTTAATGGACGTCACATCTATTTGTAAGTCGTACATTTCGATTGGTTTTGAGTCACTGCTTTTGATGCTTTCGTTATGGTTTTCCATGGAAATTCTGGAAAGACATTATCGTATAATTCATAATTTGTTATTTAAAATAAAGCAAAATTCATATACATTAAATAACATTTTTGTTGAAATTACATTTTTTTTAACTTTTAATAATATAAATACATTTACACATATAATTAAAATATTTTTTTCAAAATTTACTATTATTAATTTTTACATTATTAATATATTTATATTATTGTAAAAATTAAAAAAATAAGTATAACAACAAAAATTGGTAGAGTACATAGCATTTCACGAGAAAAGTTTGTTCATATTTCTGACACAAGATATAAAAAGTACATAAAAAAATAAATACTGTTGTCTACGTATCGATAAAGGGGTAGTTTCCATGTTACAACATGTTACGGTTCCTTCTGAGATAATATTTGAATGCGCCTTATCACGTTGTTTGTACTTTCTTGTAGCGGTCGCTCTTTTGTTGTACACATATGGTTCAAATCTCGGTGATCTATAAAAAAATCAGTAACAGTTGTATTTATTTGTTAATGCTTAAAATCTCAGTCATCCTATCTTGATGAAAGCATTTCCATGCACAGCGTAGCTTCTAAGAAATGTGTAACTGAACTCAAGGTGTCATTACATGAAGCGTAAAAATACGGAAATGCGAAAGACAAAACTAATTATTTTATTAGATTTCCACGCGTTCCGCCTATTTCTCCTAATTACATGGAACACAATTTCCGTGAAAAAGCAG